TATTTGTATTCGTATCTGCGGTTCAGCGAGGATCAACATTTGTCCATTTACACATGCTCGATATTAGGCGACTGTGCCACCGTTGACATCCTATTGAAACAAGGTGCAGATGTTAACCAAGTTCACGATCAACACTTGTCCATGTACACACGCTCGATATTAGGTGACTGTGCCACCGTTGCCACTCTATTGAAACAAGGTGCAGATGTCAACCAAGTTCACGACGAGCAGTTTAAGTGGACTGCCCTCCACTATGCGGCTAATAGTGGGGAGGTCGAGATGGTGCACCTGCTCTTGGAAAACGGGGCCGATGAAAGGGCTCGAGATCAGGTACATGTGAGATCTAACAGAAATGCACATAACTGACAGTGGATGTGTATATGGATGTATATGTGTGTGTCTGTGCGGGTATGTATTCGTATATGAGTGTTTTTTTCTGAATGTGAATGTGTATGTGTACGTGTATGTATATGTTTATGGTATGTGTATGTGTATGTGTATGTGTATGTGTATGTGTATGTGTATGTGTATGTGTATATGTATGTGTATTGTGTATGTGTATGTGTGTATACGTGAGCCTGTATGTGTATGTGTATGATGTGTATGTGTATGTGTATGTGTATGATGTGTATGTGTATGTGTATGTGTATGTGTATGTGTATGTGTATGTGTATGTGTATGTGTATGTGTATGTGTATGTATATGTGCATCTGTATGTATATGTGTATGTGTATGTGTATGTGTATGTGTAGATGTATGTGTACATGTACGTGTATGTTTATGTGTACGCCTATATGCAGACTTATTCACAAGCGTATCATAAACAAAATCACCTGCACAATCATACCGACAATCGCATATCATTCATATGGATGCAGGCATGTACCCGTGAAAGGAGGATGCTATATGTACTAACATTACTTAATCCATCTTTATTTTTAATTGTTAGTCCGTGTGTGCGATTCATTCTTACATGTCGATTGCGTTCACATTGCAACAGAAAACGTCAACATATAAAGCACATACCACTACTTATTGATTGGAATATTAGGTGCATATATAGTCATCATACGTCCACATTGCTACTGACAGAAGCGGATAAGGTGATATAAAAAACATACCACTACTTATTGGTTGAACTATTAGGCACAAATATAGCCATCACATGGTTACATAGCTACTCACAGAATAAGATAAGATAATATAAAGCACATACCACTGACTGGTTGAACTATTAGGTACAAATATAGCCATCACACATTTACATTGCTACTCACAGAATAAGATATGATAATATAAAGCACATACTACTTACTGGTTGAATTATTAGGTACAAATATAGCCATCATACATTTACATAGCTACTCACAGAATAAGATAAGATAAAATAAAGCACATACTACTTACTGGTTGAACTATTAGGTACAAATATAGCCATCATACATTTACATAGCTACTCACAGAATAAGATAAGATAAAATAAAGCACA